AAGCTGGTACTTCCGCTCACCGCAGAAGAGCTGCTTCTCTTCCACAGGAGTATCGGTCCTGACACCCCATCCCGTTTCATCCTCACCCTGCTCTCCCGCCGATGACTTAGTATGTTACTCGTTTAGAACAGAAATGTCTTGAGAGCAAAATTTTGCTGTTGCATTCACTGCTGCACTGAGCATGCCCAGAACAATGCTGAGCACTTGGCCACTGCTTCACAAATACTGGTTGAATGAATGGACACATACAGTCGAATTTGCCTGCTAGATCATTTCCTTGCGTGACAAGAATTGTTCAGGGCAAAATGAGCCCGCCTGGGATTGGTCAAGGTCAAGAATGGAAGTTAAAGGGACAGGATTAAGTCTCAGGAAAGGCGGCTGGGACAGCAGAGATCAGAATGCCTTCTTCAAAACTCTGCCTGGAGCAGAGCGACGGGATGCTGGGTGGGAGAGCGGGGTGGAAGGCATAGGAGAGAGTATCAGAGGGGGCGGGCCGAAAGGACCTTCAAAATGATGGCCCTGGGAGTCCTCACCATACTCGGAATGTTGAATGAGGCCCACAGCTCTATACTGAATGCAAACATTCCCAAATTGGCTTTTTTTTTAAAGGACATTCTGCTGGCCTCAGAATTTCATCACTGGGCTCCGTGGTCATTGCGTGTGTACTGCACACTGGTGCCCATGGGTGCAATCACGAGGTTGTCCAGGTGGGTCCTCGTGGATCTCGTGGTCCTAGTTTACTGCCACTGAGCACCTTCCAGGGCAATAGTCGGAGAGGAAGAAATAGAAACCCCGCACTGCCAGAGGTTGGAGGGGAAGAGCTATTCTCTAATTACGGAATTCTTCATACTATATGAAAATATCCTAAGGGTAAATGTAGATGCAACCGCGTAGATGAATGATTTGCTTTTGGATTCCTGGGTTAAAGGCTTTACCTTCCAAAGCAGCCTGGTAGGAAGACTTTGTAGTTGTTTTGTTTTATTTTTGTAAGGAAATCAGAGAAGAGGCAAAGGAGGGTCTCATTGAGAGTCAGATTTATGTGCTGTCATAAGAGAAATAATGCACAGGACACCGAGCCAGGGCTGGGAACATTCACTATAGGGGTGGGAGCAGCACCGTAGGAATCCCAGGCGACCCTGACCAGAGGGTCTTTTCACCTTCGTTGGAGGAGAGGACGGACTCTTCTCTGCCCGCATGTTTGTTAGGGTGACCGTGGCCGCCCCCGCCCGCCAGGGGGCGCCGTGTAACCGTCATCGCCCCCCAACTTCCTGCAGTGGGACTGGTGGCATGCCGCCCGCTGGGTGGGGAGTGTGGTCGGCCTGGAAAAGCGAAGACCACACGGTTCCACACACTCTTTCTCCTCCTCCCCCTGCCCCCTGGACATGTGGTTTTTTTCCGGATCTCTTGCCCCTCTCAGGGTGCTGAACCTAGAAGACGAAAGAACAAAGAGGAGAGAGAAGAAAATTGCCTGATTGCTGCTCCCGATTCAGACATCTTCCAGCCGTGTCATCTGCCCCCTTTTCACCCTCACACTTGGGAGGGGACAGATAAGAGACAGACTGTTATTACGGGAAGAGCTGTAAGAGCCATTGTGACCAAAGGGCAGAACGCTCTGGAACACGTTGGAAGGGCACCTGATCCAGGCAGGTTGCTGCTTGCAAGGAGCAGGGCAGTTTTCAAGAGATCTCCCAGGAGAAGTGCCATCTAAGCTGCACTGGGGGCACTAAATCAGTTAGCCAGGCCAGCAGGAGGAGGAAAGGAAATTTAACACAGCTAGCAGTAACTGCAAAGATGCAGGGATGTGAGAGAAATTTACATTTATATTTTTGGCAAAATACTACAGGGGTGGGGGCGAGGATGAGACTGGCCACAACGGCGGAGGGTCCTGTGTGCCAGAGAAAGCATTCTGATTCCCTCCTGAAAGAAAGTGGCAATGCTGGGTGGATTGTGAGGAAGGGAAATGTGTCATTCTGACACCCAGAAAGATTGCTCATCGGGTTATGAATCAACAGAAACCACAGGAGAGAAGGGGTTTGGAAGATTTCCAAAAAGCAAAATCAGCAGGGCTCAGGCCTCTGGTGGGAGGTGGCAGCTGGGGTGTGGAGGAGTCAGGGAGGACCGGGCTGGGGCAGCTGGAGGGATATTTGCGAGTGGCTCTTTATGGGAGAGTGATGTTGAAGGGAGAGAAGGCCACTGTCAACAGGCTGCTGAGTGAGAGGTGGGACCCAGATCCCAGGGAAATCGACATTAGGATGCCAGCAGGACTGCATGGGGCTGAGAAGGGGGTGGAGAATTCCAGAGAGGGCAGGGTGGAGGCAGATGGAGGCTGGGGGTGTGCAGGGGACCAGGGTAGGACGTAGAAAGGCTCACTGTTGATGTCCCGGGAATGGCTGAGGCTGGAGACCAGGACACAAGAGGACACGAATCGTCAAGGTGTTGCTGCCAGGGGCTCCAGGCAGAGCAGGGCACTGGGTGACCCACTTAGGGTTGGAGTTTCACCAAGCTGTTGGGCTAAAAGTTGGTGGAACTCTTATTACTTGTATGTTGTTTCATGGGATCCAAGGGGCAACGGAATCCTGCCACGTCACGTGTCGTGAGCTGCCATGATTAATGACAATAATAATAATAAGGAATATCTTTAATCCTGAGAACTCTTCAAAAAAATTTCCCACTTTGTAAAAATGTACTTTACATGCCACGAACCAGTTAAGCAAGCATACTGCAGCAAGAGCAGAGAAAACGTGCTTTAAAATCAGTGCTCCGTTAGACTCATGCAGTGGCTGCACATTCAAACCGCGAGGGGGTGCTTTTTAAAAATGCTGATGCTCAGGCTCCACCTCAGACCAGCTGAAGCAGGACCCCTGGGCTGGAGCCCAGGCATCTGAGGAGGGCAGGGAACCCCTGGGTCAGAGATCAGGGAAGAAAAGCCCAATGCCCCAGAGTCTTGAGGATGAAATCGAGGTAAGGCATGTGGAAGGTTTGCAGGCGGTCAAGGGCTCAGAGCGCAATGATCCTGGGGAGGGGCCACCATGCCCCCTGGGCTGGGGGGCTCTCCTGCAATGCACAGCTCCTAAGTGCTTACAAGACGCTCACCCCTCTGTGGCTTGCTTGCCCAGGATGAGCAGCAGAGTGTCTGGAGGCCAGGAGTCATGAGTGATGAACGCAGAAGGCCAGGAACAATGCATGTATCCAGTCTGGTCTGCATGCGAAAGCTCACCGCACTACAGCATGTCTACACAAATAATCCATAACCAACCTATAAATCAAAATTGGGGTGAGTTTATAATGAGCCAGATCATATAGTCCAGGAGCGTCCTTTCAGAAAGTAATGGAGCACTCCCAAGAAGTGGGGTGCACAGAGTGGTTATATACCATCAAACAGCGTGGATCACATATGATTGGAATGTCCCTTTCACAACAGTCATGAGATTGCCTGACTGGCACAGTAATTCACACCACAGGCAGCAGGTGGGTGGTCTTGAGCTGGGTGGGCACAGAAGAGGAGCCATCAATTGCTAGCCCAGGGAGAGACGCTTATCCTCAAGGAAGCTTACGTCTGTCTTTATCTTAAGGGCATTGTTCTTGTCTTTGGGACAAAAGAAATACTGAAAGCAGGTATACAATGCACGCTCCAGGCCACATCAGGCCCTTTTGGAAAAAATAAGGTCAGGCCAAATTAGTTTTACGCCAAATGGCTTCCTCATGTAGGAGAGGAAGAACGTTTCCTCTACCTTCTGGCTGGGCTACGAATTAAATTGACACGAGATAGAATAACAGGAGGAAAATCAAAGAAGTTTAATAACGTGTATACATGGGAGAAGCCCAGGAATTCTGAGCAAGTCACCAAAATGGCTGAGCTGCCAGCTTAAATATCATCTTCAGCTACAGAAAAAGGAGGATGTTGGGCTAGTGGTTTGTGGCTTCAAAGGGGAACAAGGCAACCCACATGGAAATAGAAAAGCAAATGTTTGGTAGACAGAACTTCTATAACAGTGGGCTTAGCAAGGACCCTCCCAGTCTATGATACCCAGAGCTATCTATGGCGATGGCCTGTCCTGGGGACAGGTCTTTTGTCTTAAATTCGTTTAGGCAGTTAGGGGGAAGGTCAAAGTTTCTTTCGGGGTCTTTTGTTTTATCAAGGCAAAGAGACACATTTTGGGGTGGCCAGTTTTGATCCCCCACACTCATATACTCCAATATGTCCTATTGCTTGCCATTTATTTATCAAGCACATGTGGACGGAGACACAAAGTTTAGCTGAGATAAAGCAGTAGTTGCATCCTTTGTATTTAGATTAATATTTCATATACTTAATACTGATCTTTGAAAGAGAAAACCAGGAAGCTTGGGCCCAGTGAGCTGGAGAAGAAGTAGTTTCATGAAGCAGTAGGAGTGCTTAGAGAAGCAGGAGATGGGGAAAGACACACAGACCGTGGGCCCCGAGGAGAGGCCGGGAGAGGGGTTATATGGCCAGGGAAGAAGGGAGGGCAGTGCTATGCTGAAAGAGAATTCTAGAGGGAGCTGGAGTTGGCCCCAGCTGGTGTAGATGCTGGGTTTGAGTTGCGACTAGAAAGGAACTCAGGAGGAAAAGTAATCCCTTTTTTAATTTGGACATGAACCTGAAAAAGATTGTCAAATACCTGAGTGCTTTTTAACTCTCTCATTTTATATTACTTATTTTGTTATCGTCTCTCTCACTAGTTAAATGGTATGTGTATTTTCACTCACTCACTGAATTAACCCAGGTTGGAGGAGACCCTAATCCAGTCTGTGTTAGTCTTAGGGTCAAGGTTAAGGTTAGGGTCTCCGAAGGCCTTCAGGCTTTGGAGTAGAAGATTCTAGTCTCCTGGAGGGTGTGGCAGAAAGTGGCTAAACCTACCTCATTGGAGAGCCACCCCCTGGGCCTCACCAGCTCACCTGGCCCAACCTGTTTCCAGAACCACATTCCAGCTGCAGGGCCCTCAGCCTCGATCAAGGATCACAATGTCCAAACTGCCATAAAACATACAAAAACACCCATCAAAGATGGTGTCTGCTGTGCTTGTCCACGTTCTTTGGTTAGGGACCCACACGAAAACTCCTTTACATTTTAGTACCTAGAAAATTAATCTGTTTTAAAACACTGGCAAGCCTCCTTTTGTCAAATAATGACTATTGTATCATCTGTATTTTCTTGTGTTCAGTGCTCGTAAACTTAGGACTCATTTTAGTAAATTATAGTAAGTATATATATATACCAGCTCTAAGCCTAGATTCTTGACACATTCCCTGTCTCTTTATTATACTCTTTGAACTTGAAATAACTTATTTCTATATTTAGCAGTTTTCTTTTAGATATACCTTTAATTTGGGGGAAGTTTTTAATAACATATTGTGACATACATTCCTACATTGTCTACTTTTAGATCTTGCCCTCGTTGCTTACTCTGAGCAAGTCATGAAAGAATGTGTTTGCAGCTCAGCCCTGGGAGCTGGGCCAAGAGATTTACGAGCGTTGGATCAAATCCAACTGAGGTTTTGTAAGAACTCCACTGAGGGTTAGGATTCACGAAAAAACTCTGTATTTAACCTTCATCTTAGGGGATGGTCATTCTTCCTGCTCCATTGCACAGTTTTGACAGTGTTCTATGATAGCACATTGCCCTAATGATTTCTATGAAGTAGGAATATTCCCATTTTACAAATGGAGTACTGAGAACAAGATTAAATAATTTACTTTCTGCTGCAATTCAGTGTTCCCAACACGCACGCAATACTGACGCTATCAAGGGGACGAACCACTCATCCTTCACCCACTGACAGGCAGAGACAAGAGCCTGAGGATTTTTTCTCTAGGCCTTGCACCAGGGTACTCGGGCGCAGTCACAGATTCTCCTCATCAATGAGTTCAAAGGATAAAGAGAAAAGAAAAGGCCCTAATGCCATAGGCAGTCTTCCAGAGAAAGCCAGGAGGACCAACCTAGCAGCTGGAGGGTGTGCACAGCAGATGGGAAAGTGCTGTTCATCCGAGAGCATCCGACAGCACCAGCCAACCAAACAGCCAGACAGCCCGCATGCCCTGTGGCGAGCTTGGCTTGAAAACCTCCAGTCATGCGCGGAGGCTTGGGCTCCTGGCAAAAGCATCGTCTGGCGCATTTTCCCGAGGGTGCCCACAGCAGCAAAACAAGATAGTGTGCTCATCCATCTGATCTGAATTCTGCAGATCCTCGAGCCTCAAGCGAGGTCTTGCAAACCGGTGAGATGTCTGCTTCGGGAACACTCGGAGATGCAGCCCTGTTCCGCATCACCTCTTTCACAGAAATGGGCTTTGCTCCCTGCAGTTGGGAGAAGCTGGACCTTTGGGCCTGGGGTTCAAGACCAGGCCTCTCTGCTCACATTCTCCTCATTTTCTGGTGTCTGATGGATCATCAGAGAGATCCCTACAGGCAGAGTATTCTCGGTACCAGCACCCAGGCTCAGGAGGAACTGAGCACTCCTAGAAACAGTACTGAGTGGCTAACCTTTGCCTTTTAAGCTGAGTCAGCTCAGTGCACATGTCCCTCAAATGCTCAACAGCGATCTGCTCCATGCACGAGGTCATGCCCAAGGTCAACAATTGCTGAGGGTGCCTCCCAGGCTTCCAAAAATAATAAATAAAACAAAATCAAACTTAAGACTACAGGCGCTCCACTCTGCCCCTCGGCTCTGACCTGGGGGCATGATTTAAACACATCCGTATAGGGATCTCTCCAGGGTCATGTACAGGCTTCCTGACTCTACTCTCCTCTCAGCTTGTGGGTCCTTTCCCACTGGACCTCAGTGCCATCCATGTCTTGGGAGATGAGCCTGGTGGGGTCAGGAGAGTCTGGTCCGGTATCTCCAGGATAATCCTCAAGGGCCCCCCAAAATGTATGAGGGGGTTCCTGAGTACATTAGGGCATCTCTCATTCAAATGCTCTGAGCTGGGTGTGTAACCAAAGATCAGTTCCAAAGCAGGCTGTCTTAGACCCAATTGGTGTCCAGGAGACCCACATGGTTTATTTACAGGATCCTAACCCTGCAGGTTGGAGGGGACGCCGCATGTCACCGGCTCCTCGTTGAGACCCATACAAATCCTTGCTGAGCTTTGATTCTCTATGAAACAACCCAAGCTCCACACTGTGGGAAATGTAAAGATGGTCAGGTATCTTGCCAACAAATGCGACATGAGTTGGCCTGCCATAAAGGGCCAGAAACGAGAAAACAGAGTTGAGAGCTTTAGAGAACGTCGGTCCTAGCTCTGTTGAGAAGATTGTGGAGGGCTTCCAGAAGTTACGGCATTTCACTTGTGCCCGGGAGTCAATGCCATTCTGTTTGGGAGGATGACTGCGATTTGGATAGAGACGCAAGAGCAGCTCGAGCGAAGGGCCCATGAGGAAAGAACCAGGTGCTTCAGAGAAATATTGGATGGTTAAGTTTGGCTGACATGGACCTTAGGCAAAAGAGGAGGCTGGAACTAAGTCACAAAGGGCCTGGAAAGTCATGGTCAGGATGCAGACTGTGATTTTGAGACAGGAGGGAACCCTCAAAGGGGCTGAGCTTCAGGACGGAGTGGTCAGTCCTGTGTGGAGGGACTGGTGCCCTGTAGGGAGGATGGAAGTTAGGAAACGGTGAGGTTGGGGAGGGGGTGGAGTAAGGTGGCGGTTCCAAGGATGGACCAGAGGAGACGGGTCAGAGGATCTGAGGAGGAATGCCGGACCTATCCCTGACCCCATGGGTGGTGGAGGGAGAAGGTGCTGAAGGAGAGTTGAGCCTGGGTGATGGGAAGCAGAGTCCCACTGGCCACAGGAGCTGGGGGGGTCAGGGCGAAATCCTAACAGGGGGCAAGTGACACTGGAGAGGCCACAAACACGATCACTCACAGCAGGTGGAATTTCATATTTAATTGATCAACGTCTGTCTCCTCACTTGGCTGACAACTGTCTGCGTGGAGAAAGGACCGTGTCCATCTTTGCTCATCACTCCATCTCCAGCATCACGGGGGCCCAGCTAGCACTGAGTGAGTGAATGAATGAATGAGTGAATGAAGGGGCCAGGGTTTGACTGGTGTTTCGTGGAGAGGCCGAGATGGGTTAACAATTCTTTGAATTCTTGATACATTTTCTTCCCTCAACAAACATTCATTTAGTGCCTGCTGGTGTTACAGCCTAGACATTGGAAAGCTTAAGGTCAAGTAGGGGGAGAGGCTCATCCGAAAAATAAATATAATAAATGTATGTTACATAGGCTAGGAGAACAGCCCATATGCCCTGGTGACATCGAGCTCCATTAAGCTTGAAGAATTGGTGTTGGGGGGCAGGAAGGCATTCAAGGTGGAGGAAGCGTGTGAGGGGAGGTCAGGAGGGAAGAGGGAACTTGAGGGGAGCATGGTGGCCCCCTGGACGACCCTGGACCAGACTAAAGAACTCGCCTCGTTGGAAAGGAGGGGCCACGGAGGGGTTTGCTTTAGGATTGGAGGAGGGCAGACTGTGGTGGGGGGCTGTCCACAGATGAGAGAGAAGTGTGGAAGATGTGTGGGGGCACGCTCACAGGACATGTAGAAAGAAGCCTGGGAGAAGAGCAGAGACTGAGGAGGGAAGGGGGGTAGGAGGCATCTTGGAGTGAGAGGAAAGGAGAAAAAACAATCTAGGGGAGAGAATAAGAGGGCACAGGATGTCACAGAAAGAAAAGAAGCACTCGATGGAGGCAGGGGACCGCATCGCCACGTTCCCAGCCTTCAAAGAAGATAAGGAATGGAAAAGCCCGCTGTCGGATGTAGGTACTGATGGCAAGACGGGCACATAACACGTAACAAGTACGCCCTATGTCCAGTTCTATCATCTCATTAGTCTTACATGTTATATCTTATTTGAAATTACTTTTGAAGCCTTCCGGTGGTCTATGACATGCTAGATCACTTATTTGTGACTTGTGTGTGTGACCTATATGAGTATTTAGAATGAAACTATTTGGACAGGAGGTAAGTCCACAATATAATTGCATTTATTTAGAAACTCACATTCTCTACATTTTAAGACGTGACGAACCCTAGTCTGGCTTTGTCACTTACAGACTCTGGGGGGTAGTCAGCTGACCTGCCTGGACATCAGTTTACCCATTTGTAAAATTATGGTGTTGGGCTGCATTATTTTAAGCAGGCTCCCAATTCTTAAAAACAACCACCATGACAACCACAAAGAAAAGTGTAAGTCATTGTTTCTGTGATCCTAAGCAAGTTCCAATTGGCTGATTGGACCCTAAACTTTTTTCTTTTGTATCTGAAATTAACTGATTCCTTCACGGATACTCTTAATGTCTACTGATGAGATAGTGGACTGAAAATTTGATCGAATTAAAAAAATACATTAAAAAATGAAACCTTTTTCTGTCTTCAGAATGGCCATCCATTGCTGAAATAGTTGTGAAGAATCAACCACAAACTCTGAGGCACCTTCAAACAAGACTCTCTTGCTGCTGCCCTCTGAGTTCACCTCCCATGGGGGGTTGCTTTCACAGTTTTGTCTGTATTTCTCCTTCCTCTGCTGGCTTTGTCTCTTCCATAGCCAGTGGCTGGGCCAGGTTCTTGGACTCCAGATACTCAACAATTCCATACGCCACCATCGTCAGACTCAAGACTCCCAGCAGAATGTAGAGTTTGACATAGATGCACAAAAACGTGCTGTATCCAAACGCAATGACGAACCCCACGGCTTCCCAAAGGCGATAATTGGCAAAGGCAGCCTCCTTGTTCTTCTCAAACAGAACGCCATAAAGGGCTGCAGGGGACAGAATGGGAGGAAGACATTGCCGTGAAACCTCCGACAATGCTTTCAATTATTGCTGAAAATAGTGTAGCTATCCCACTACCCCATTTTCTTGATGAAATCAGGAACTATTCCTTTTTAGAAAACAGAACCATTGCGCACGGTGGATTATAGCAAGTCAAGTGACACTCTCCAGCAGCGAAGAACCATCATATACACAAGAAACGGAGAATTTGTGAAATGTTAGCCCTGGAGGGAAGCTTGGCCCAAGCCCTCACTTTGTAGATGAGAGAAACAAAGCTTGCAGATCTGACTTGTGTAAGAGGAGGCGTGGCCACTCATCAGAGTCCACAAGCGAAGACAAATGGAAAGATCCTATCAGGAAAAGACATTTGTTCTTTCTCTTAGGGAATGTCATCAGAAACATGCACACTAGCTTACGAGATAAGTGATGCCAACCCCAGAATTTTCGGTGACCGCAGCGGAGTAATGGACCTTTGTATGGGACTTTCCCTCCTATCCTGGAGACTTAAGCAAGCGTTGAGCCAGGCAAGGCTGCAGTGTCCGAGTGCTCACACCTGGCCTCGATCAAAGGCCTGAGAACCCTCAGGTGGTTGCCTGAAGGTTTGGGAGAGAGATGACCTGAGTCTGTGTTAGGGGCTGGATTGTGTCCACTCAAAATCCATATGCTGGAGTCCTGACCTCCAGCACCTCAGAATGTGACTGTTTTTGGAGGTGGGGTCTTCAAAGAGGTGATCAAGTTAAATGAAGTCATATGGGTGGGCCCTAACCCAGTGTGACTGTTGTCCTCGTAAGAAGAGATGAGGACACAGACACACACAGAGGGACAACTGCGTGAGGACATAGGGAGAAGAGGGCATCTATACACCAAGCGAGAGGGCTCAGGAGAACCAGCCTTGCCCACACCTGGATCTCAGACTTCCAGCCTCCGTGAGTGAGAGAGAATAAATGTCTGTTGGTTAAGCCACTCTGTTGTGCTTTGTTATGGCAGCCCAGCAAAATAGTACAATCTGATGATGCTTCTAGATGAAAGGAAATGATTTTTTGTTTCCCGTTCACAGCATCGTGAAATTTTTGATATACCTGGGGGAGGACTGGAAGAATCTTCTGGAAGGTTAATAGTTAGGAAGCTGACAGCGTTCAACAGAGACAAGTTGATGCATAGGCACCGTCCTGAGCATCCTGGCCGATGTCTGGGGCCAGCCCCGTCCTGCTCCATTCTCTCCCGCACTGCCCAGGTCCCCACGCCCTCCCCTCTCTGTCGAGGGACTTGCCTTCTCACAAAGAACTTCTTCTTAAGCCACCATCACAGACCCATCGCCTTGTGCTCTCCTTCCTCCCACCGAGGCCCAGGAAGGGGTCCCTGCACAGAGGCCCCACTCGCTCTTGTCCCCTCGGGGATGTTATACCATCAGTTCGAGCCCCTCTCCTGAACCTTCTGATTCTGTTACCTCCTCCCCCGCTTCAGCCCAGAAGCAAACTCGGGGCTTTCTGACGGTCGTGCAAGCCCCATTCAGGCCTCCTTTCCTCTCCTCCCTCCACCGACACCAATGTCTGGTCTATTCTATCCATCCATTCTGACATTTACTAAGTACCTACCATATGGCGACAATCATAGCACCGAGCTCTGTAACCCCAGAGACAGCCGTGATTTCTGCTCTCCAGAAGCTCGTGGCCCATTTGTCAGACTTGGACTCCCGGACATTTGGGTTTTCTCTCCGATCCCACCTGTCTGGCCCATCTGTGCATCTCTTGCCTCATCTCTTGTCACCTCTGGAGTCATCTCTTCCTCATCTCCAGTCTTTCTCTCCTCCAAATTATCCTCCACCCTGTTGCTGCAATAATCTTTCTAAAATGTAACTATGTTGTCACTCCCATGCTGAGAAGTCTCAGTGGACCCCCCGGCTTTGGGGGAAGACCAAGCACCTCATGATGGGGGCAGGTCCCTCCATGATCTGGCCTTGTCCCTCCGGAGCACCACCTGCCACAGTCCAGAGTGCCCCCATTACAGCCCCACGGTCCTTGTGTCTGTGCAGGTGACAGGCCCCACGTGAAGGGCTCTGCCAGGCCTCTCTGGTGACCTCTCCCCCGTGATCCTTCTGTCAAGTTCTCCGTGACTGCCATCTCACCAGCATCCTCAGGGCCTCGCCCTTCTCCCCATAGCACTCAGGCAGGCCTCTCACCCGCTTCCCGCCACTCATTATTTTTTCTCCACCTGTGCTTGACTAGTCTGTGGACTCCACTCTTATCTAGAATGGCTATTCCAACACTATCGAAGGTCAGGAAAAATACTTATTGAGTGACTAAGTGGACCAATGGCTGGAGGGTGACCTCACGAGGTGAGCAGAACACCAACAGGTCAGACACCAAGCCACGTCCTGCAGGGTCAGAGACCCAACACTCCATCTCAAAGTATGAATAAGAAGACGGGGAAACGGCGGGGCAATCCCAAGGAAGAGAGAGCTGCCTTTCCTCTTCTTCCCTTCCTGTTATAACCCAAAAAGCCCACCTGGGGAGGGAGTGGAGGAAATACAGGACGGGCAACCACCTTTGCATGTGAGTAAGATAATGAGTGAACCCAAATGCCAAGTGTGGATCCCCACCACGGGGCAGGATGGACAGATGGCCCTTGCCCCCGGCCCCAGGGGGACCAGACACCATCTGTACCATGGAGCGTTTATTCCCAGGGGCAGCTGAGGTCTGCAGAGTGAGGGAGATTTTCTTAGAACTGTTTCCTACAAGGTGGGTAGTTGTGGGAGGGAGCGCTGACAATGGAACTGTCACAAACACCTTCTTTTTCAGCCTTCATTCTGTCCCTTTCCTTCTCGCCATCCCCTTCTCCCTACAGTTGAAAGGGGAGGGAAGAGGGTTGTAGGAGAGGCCCCACCAGCAATGGGGAGAAAGATGTGGGGTCACAGCAGCAAGGTCCCCTGCAAGTCTGCCCAGGAAATGTCAACGCCCAGGAGACACTTCTTGGCTTTTGGTCACTCAACCACCTGTCTACCATGGGAGGGATTCAGGAGGGTGAGGTCATTGAGCAGATGTAAGAGAGGAGATAAGATACACATTTTAAACAACGTAGGTGTGTTTGGGAAAACAAGAGGCTGTTTGGAACACTCAGAAGGGACCCTTGTTCTCTGAGACTGTAAAGCATCCATCGTAATGAACGTCAATGTGCAAAGAGAATCTAACAGTGAAAATTTGGGGGATTTAGTCAGCTTCAAGGATTATTTTAGACATCTCTTGTCTTTCTTTGGAGGGTGACTCTTAAGATTGGATACAAAAACAAGATACTAGGGAAGAAAATCCGAGTTGAGACACACTGGCCACCCGTGGTCGATTATGTCATGTTCTGTGACAAAGAAGGTCCAACAGCACCCTTAACGGGTTGTGGGGCCAGAGCAAATGCAGCCCAATTTCATGAGCATTCCAGTAATATGGGCAACCCTAATTTTAAACTAATGTTTTTGGTCTACAGGTTGGTGTCTTTCGGGATTTCAAGATGAAATTTAGATTGCGATGATTATAAATCACTGTGCTCCAGGATAAGGGGACTCTCTCCTCGCTCTCTCCTGATCAAGCTCCGGTGGGTTCAAGTCCAGTTCAGCCTCTTAAGTACCCACGGACTCCTGAGCTTTCTGAGTTTTTTCATCAACTTAAACTTTCTAGCCATATATGCCAAAGGAGGAACTTGACATTCTGAGTCTGATGCTAAAATTTGACCCCTACTGGGGAGATACACCAGCAGGGAAGAGAGATCAGGGATGTCTGTTAGCTGGCACTCTTGGGTTCAGGATAACCTCAGTGTGCTTGAGAGGCAGGAGGAGTTCAGATTGGGAGGACCTGGGACCCAGAAGTTGGCTGGAAAGCTGGCTGTGCCTCTGGCTGTGCAATGGAATGAAGAGACTGAAGAAGATGTGTGGCAACTGAACAAGAGGTGGGACCCTTCCTCCTTCCTCCCTCCTAAGCTTAGTTCTGTCCAAACAAAGCTGATCAGAGCCAGGAGAAGGAGCGAGCCAAAGGACCCTGATGTCGGCAGCCAGAATGCCTTTCAAGGAGATGCAGAGAAAGGAGTCAGGGGTGGGAGGGATCCATTTTCCTCATTTGGGCATATGCCTGAGTGACTCAGGACCAGCCTGAAGGAGGAGATGGCAGAGCCGGTCAAGATTAGACACAGGTTTTTGGGGAAATTTCTTATGCTCTGGTTCCTATTTTAACCTAAACATAAAGAAAGCAGCACATTAATTGTGTCAAATTCCAACAGGTAAGGACATGGTGGGCAGAGGAGAAAGACATTCGAAAGAAAAGGAAAGTAGGCTAAAAACAATATTTCAATGATTCTAAAGTTGCTTTCCGTGTACATTAAGATTGAACCAGTACATAATATGGTGCATTGTGGGGGCCAGGTTTCTCTCTGTCAGAGAGAGAAGTCACATGTCCGCAAGGGGCAGCTAGAATGGCCTGTGGTGCTGGACTAGAGTCAGGACATCAGTGTGAACTCATCCTTGTTTACGATATAAACAGAGTGTAGATACAGACACAAATACAGAAACACCAGTACACATACACACCTCTTCTCACTCCCGCCGAGAGGGCCGAGAAACATTACCTCAGTAGCAATGAGCACACCCAGGACTCGAACTTTGGTTTATAACACCATTACCTGATACAATGGACCCAGACTCCTTGGAGAAATGGCTGATTCTAGGTCTAGCAGGGGAGAATTACAAGATGGGCCTGGAATATTTTTTAGTGCCAGAAAATAAGGAAGTACTAAAAAAAAATAGATGGAATATATCAAAGGACGCAGGTGTCAAAGTGAAAGATTCCAACAGCCAAGGCTGGAACAATCAGAGACACAGAACAATTACGGTAGCATTGGACTGTAACTCAGAGGGTACCGTAAATCAGGAGCCCATACTGATGTGGATAAATGGTTGAGTAAATAACGAAATAAATTGGAAAGAAGGGGCAAATATTCCTTATAGAAGAATTACACATGATTTATGTCTACGCTCCTCCTCCAGCAGGCGGGGATTAATTACCTCTCCCTTGATGGTTGGCTAGAGTTGGTGATGACTGGCTTCCAAAAAATTGGCTGGGGAACAGAAAGAATAGTAACTGTGCATTGGAGAAGACTGGCAGGTACCAGGTTGGCCAGCGATCAATGAGGTTGACATCCTCAGTGATCAGTCATGTTGCTGTCGTGATATGATGAGATTGGCATTCGACTTTGGGGTCTTCCTCCTCAAAACCCATAAAGCCTGGCCTAATCAGGAGGAAACATCAGACAAACTCGAATTAAGGGACAATCTAGTAAATACCTGACCAGCATTCTTCAAAAGCATCAAGGCCATGAAAAACAAGGGAAAACAAGAAACTGTCACAGACCAGACAACGGACATGTGAAGACCAAACGCAACGGGGCCCTCTGGATGGGATCCTGGAGTGGGGGATGGAGAAACCCGGATAAAGTCTGCAGTTTAGTTCAGTCAGGTCCCAATGTCAATTTCTTGGTTTGGACAAACATACCATGGTTTTGCAAGATGTTAGCACGAGGGCACCCTGAGCGAACGGTATAGGGGGACGCTCTATGCTATATCTCTGAAACTCTGTTGTAAACCTGAAATTATTCCAAAATGAAAAGTTTATTTAGAAAGAGAAAAGCCTCGCTCCCTGCCTGACTTGTCTGCCTCATCGTCCGGGGAAGGCACTGGGTGGAAGCTGACTCCTGTCCTCGGATGAGGGGATGTGGACAAATTGTCGGACAGTCTTATTTGGGCTGGAAAAGACAAGTTAAATGAACAGGGCATGTAAGAGGAGTCAGATCTTCCAAGCCTATCCGCCCAAAAACAGCCCCTTTGACCTCTAACAGGGCCAAAGAATATTTTTAGACCAGACATTGTGAATCATAAACGCAGCGCATTGACTTGTAAGGGTTGCCGTGGCAACAGTACCCATCTTTCATGAACTGTCAGGGTGAATAAACAGATAGGAGTCACTGGCCCCGATCTGCTGCTCCAGAGGCCAAAGGGATTCCTGGAGCCCAGTGGGAAACATCGATCAGCAAGTTGCCCAATTCTGCCCCAGGAAGGAGCTCGCATGGTTCTGTCATCTGGTTTGGTTCTAAGTTGGAGAACTGGAGTGACCAGTTTTTACCTTGAGCCGTGATGATTGAAAAGAAGGCTTAAATTGCACTGAATTGTATGCCATTTCATTAGTTAGGAAAGTATGGGGCTCACGTATTTTCTTAAAAGAGAGGCACCCATTCAAGGAGAATAGGTTTGGAAATCCAACTTGCTATTTAAGAAAACAAAATGAGAGCAAGTTGTTCTGGGGAGGTGGCAAAAGCTATGCAAAATCTCTAGTTTTTTAAAAAATAGAGACTGGACACGGATGTGCCATGTTGCAGGCAAGTTCTATGAGAGCCTGGTGGTGCCAGCCTGCAGGAAACGCAGTTCCTGAAACACCACTCCTGGCAGAGACGATGGCGAGTGTAGACTCCAAAGGAAGTTCTCAAATATATGAAAAGAACAGTTTTCCCCAATGACTTATTTTTCCTTGAAAAAATTTACTTTTTACCTGGACAAAAAGACAGAAATAATTCATTTTAAATTAGCATCCCTTATTCAAGAGATTCTTTATTCAAGCTACTCGTTGGGCTTGAAGGTCTGAGTTATTCACTGGACCTTATGTAACTTTGCACAATCTTGACCAAAGCTTGGCCTGACTGTCTCTTAGGTCCAAGAAAAGAAAAGGAGAGTGAATTAAAGCATTTATTCCTGTATCTCAGGGAGGAAGAAAACCAAGTATATTTATTGCAATCATTTGAAAACCCTGGAGGATTACGGTATGGAGTATTGTGGCTACTTACTCTAGTCCCTTACTTGACTTTTAATGTGTAAATACTTTTTAAAATTCAAGTGAGTTCAGAGACGTCAGCTAACGTTTTAGACAGCAAGAGGCATCTGCACTTGGAGCGTTCAGTAAGATACTGTGTCTTTCACCAATCCACGGGGATACTGAAAGAAATTCTCTCCTGAAGCTCATTGGTAAGACGCCCAGTATTCCGACAGGTAACGTGCCCTGTCGCTGGGTTATAATTTGGGACTGCCAAGAAAAGCTGACGTGAGTTTCTGTTTCTCTCTCCTCCGCTGACTACTGTTGAGCAATATTGCAAGTCTAGCATGGGAATAGTTGTAGTCATTGGTTCCAGGTGTTGACCTTGATCCAAACACACCAGATTCTACCACTGAGCCAAACACATGTTTGTTATCTGGCTCAAACTTCAGGAAAGCCCCCTGCATTACTGAGAAAGGATTGTGAAACCCAAACCTTTAAATCCACCAGCACTAGGTTTGTTCATGATATTTTTTCAGCTGGTCTATAAGCTGTGACAACCCTAAGACCGTAAGGAGGTAGCCATCCCGAAGTTTTGAGTTCACAATGGATGAGGTCATGTACACTTGCTATGCCCAGGTGTGGGGACACCAGCCAGGCCTCCGTCCCTGGAAACATTGGCTTGTGGCTTGTGTGTGGATTGGCCTGACCCAATGTCTAGTCCCCAGGTGTTTCCCAGACAAGGAGGAACCCCAACTCAATTCTCCCAGAAAATTGACAGCTCCCAATCCCCAGTGCAGCCTGCTTGGACGTTATTATAGGAATCTGTAAGCACTTCTGCTCCAGAAGTTGCACATCCATCTCCCCATCTTGACTGAGAGCACCTTGGAGGGGTCTTCGTCCGCGTACACCAGCACCAAGCGTGCAGGGAGCGATCCCACTACTCAGAGATGCTTTTCCAGTGGAAGGCCATGAAGGAACTGCCATTACTAAGAAAGGTAGTCTTCCATCAGGGTGGAAGCTCATCCAGACTCAAGCAGGATAATGCCCATCCCAAGGAGAATCTCTCCATGAAGAACCGAGGGGTGATTTTTCTCTCTTGCATCATACATGTGAGTAAATGCTCAGAGAAAATACTTCACCTTCAGAGTACAAAGTAGGAGCCCTCTTGGGGCTCCACACTCTCCTGATAGGCCACGTCCCTGCGTCTCCCCAGGTGGCCCCAAGTTGGCAGGTCCTCCACCCGCCATGTGTCCCCCGCACAGCTGGCTGAGGGAGGGAGCCCTAAGCAGGAAGTGCTCTATGCTGGGAACTCACCATTGTTTTGTGTCTGCCAGACGGCGTCGGCCATGCCCCAAAGGCCAGAAAACACGAAGAACATGGCCAGCTGATGAGGGTGTGGTTTCCACAGCAAGAGGGCGATGACACAGGAGACGTGGATGCCCGTGCCTACGAGTGTGCAGAGGGAAATGAGTACCAAGATGGGCCAGCTCTAAGACGAGACATACCATCAGCTGAGCACGTCTTAGACACGTTCATGCCAAAGGAAGCTTCCTGATCATTGGTTTCCTGGCTTAAACAATGTATCCTGAGAATACTCCAAACTCATTTCTTCAGGTAGATTTTGACACTGAATGTGCAGGTTGACGTATGTGCACCCTGGATGGACTGCCATGGGGCTTTACTGATTTCAAAGCAGTCCCACATACACCCTCAGCCCTCACACCAACTCCGAGTGGCACATGCTCTTTCTATTGCACGTCACCATTTTTGCCAGCATCTGGCAGACGTGTGTACCTACCCAGCATGTAGAGAGCGATTCTGCCCGTGTACTGGGAGATCTTCCCGTACAGCACGGAGCACAGCGCGTTGGTGGCCGAGAAGGAGATCATCACGTAGCCAACAAACTGGATCCCCAGGGCGCAGGTGACGTACGACTGGAGGAGGGAGCACAGAGCGATGTTAGCCGATGCTTGTCTCAAGCCTCCCCAGGGCCTGGCTCTGAACTTGCACGTTGGTGGTTGGAATATAATTTATGCTCAAACGCATTCTGCTGTGTGACAGCTGACATGCTGAAGTGGCCTGAAACCTTTGTCTAGGGTTTCGCGGTCCCAGCATGGGAGAACAATGCCCATGCTTGTAAGGAAAATCCCCTTTTGGGTAAGAGGTAATGAGGAATGGTTTGGACAGATGTCTGGGCAAGCTCCTGCCATACATCCTTTGCCCTCTGCTGTGCTATACTTATTATTTACTTAAGGGCGAATTTGAACTATTCTTGTTGAGGTTGAACACTTCCTATTGGGCCTATAAGACAGTGGAAAGAAGACAGAAGGGGTGATGAATTTAGGTTGAGCACAGAGGATTTTTAGGACAGTGAAACACTCTGTAAGATGTTATAGTGATGGATACATGTCATTATACATTTGCCCAAAGCCACAAAATGTACAACACCCAGAGTGAACCCCAACATAAACTATGGACTCGGGGTGATAACGGTGTGTCAGTGTAGGTTCATCAATTGTAACAAATGTGCCCTCTTGTGAGATGTTGATAATGGGGGCAGCTGTGTGTAGGGAGGCAGGAGGCATGTGAAAACGCTGTACCTACCTCTCAATAGTGCTACTGACTTAAAATGGCTCTAAAAAATAAAGCCTTAATAAAATAAGAAGAAGAAGAAGATGGAAAGAGAATGAAAGGACTCCCAGTAGAGTCAAGAAGAAAGAAAAATGCTCCTCAACCAGACAGTGAGGGATGAAGTGGCCCCCCAGCCAGGACCATGGGTCAGCCTGGGCTCCAGCTGTTACCCTTGCGTGCCCACCGATCCTCTCCTTGGGCAGAATCAGGACAGACATAGACAAGGGGACTGGCTAGGACGCCCCACCACATCTGGATGGTGGGGACACTGGCTGAGGTCACATGAGGGCATGTCCAAACACCAAGGGACCATCGTGTCCTTACTCTTTAGAACTCTAAGACTCTCCGTCAAGATGGTCCCGGGAGCAGGGATGCCAGAGAAAATCTAGGACGCCCAAATCCTGCACAGGGCATACTTATTCTAAAGGATATGTGTGGTTTATCTGAAATTCAGATTCAACTGAGCACTGTGCTTTTTAGCTTGCTAATTTGGCAACTCTGCCTGGGAGGGAGCCATGGTGGGGATTAAGCAGGAGAAAGCTCCCGGATAAGGAGGGTGATCCGAGGGATGCCCCTGGGATGCAGGCTGACTGGGCCAGCCTTGGCCCTGCCTCTCTCCAGCTCCCACCACGCCCAGCTCCTATCTAACACTTTCTGGAAAAACGGTCTCTATTCTCTAACATCCCTGTCTGTGGCATCCCTTTCATGGCATCCCAGAATGTTCTTCAGGACGGGGTACCACCAGGGCAGGGGAACTGGAGAGAAGAGACTCCGTGAGAGATCCATGATGGAAGGTGGCCATGAGTCCAATTGTGTCAACCTCAGCGGATGAGGGTCTCTCTGCTCATCCAGCCTTCCTGCCCTGCCCTGGCCGACCCCAAAGAAACCTTCCCCCTTCTGACAAAGTGGGCAGGCAGCGTGTGGGCCAGGCAGGCATCTGGGGAAAGAGGGTGATCTGAGCAGACAGGGTGACAATGCCTGGGAGCCATGTCTGTTTCCAGACTGTAACACACAATTTGAAAATTAGAGTGATAAGGAATTTCAGTGTTATTCATGGATTACTGTTTTCCCCTATTTCTTCTCTAAAATAAGGACACAGGGTGAGATGCAGGCAGGCATGACACAAATAAATGTTACACGTGATGACTCATAAATAGCTGTGGTCCTTGCCCCTGAAGATACATGTCAAGGGAGAATGTTCCCCGGAGATAAGGCCATACTCAGGTCAGTTGCAGTCACCTGGAAGCCTATATCTTAAACCATAAATTTAGCTATCATAAGGACGTGCACAGCACCAGCAGCCACGTTTGCCTGCCCGGGCTCAGGGCAGGTGGCCCTGAGACCTCCAAACCCAGGTAGGTGTGGCAGTACACCGTGGTACATGTGCTTGGCTTTTAGCTTGCTCTCGTACCCTCGTGTAGTCACCCGAGAGGAAGGCTTGCTGAAACCCACTGTACACGGGCAGCAGAATGAGGAGACACAGACGTTTATCTCTGAGAAGCTTGAAAGTTGACAGCAAAGTGGACCAAAAAGATGACGACTTTTCCTCTCCTTTGCTTTTCTCTTGGACATCCTTTATGGGTTGGAGAAAGGTGGCTACGAGCAGGACTGCCAGCACGCCACTCCCTGGAAGGAAAATAAAGAGTGAACGCTGCTGTGTTATAAGATCCAGGAGGTGGTGGTCACTGGGCACACGTGACTTCAGTCCCCTCTTCTTCTGGCGGGTCAATTTCAAATCCAGATTTAAGATGAAACTAGGTAAGCCGGGCCTGACCAAGCCTCACATCTTCAATGTCACGTTGGATTCCTACACACGTGGCCGTAGATAATTAACTTGTGGCTGGCAGGCTTTCTCATGAAACCTGCCACAGTCAGCCAGATTGCCCTCAGTGACATAAAATACAAAATCTTGGGGAGAGACCCCAGATGTCCTCAGGGTCCTTAACCATCGACTCTTTCTCTCATCCTAACCTTCAGAATAATTTCTACCAACAGCCAGTCTCCCTTCCCAGGATTATGCATTCTGGAAGGTTACCATTTGCTAAGCTTTTCATTTATTCCAATTCTATTCATCTAACAGTCCTGCTGTAGGACTTGCTGACATATATCACCGTCGATCCCAAGTGCAATGGGATGTTGTGCATTTGAAGACAGGAAAAGAAGTTCTTTACATACTGATATGGGGAAATCTCCCAAGAGAAATGGCTAAGAGAAAAAAACAGGATGCAGAACTGTGAGTCTACGATAAAGAGGAACATAAAGATGTATTTGTTTATATGTTCATTAAATACGTCTAGGAATTAAAGACAATGTGGGTTGCCTATGGGGACAGGAGAACTGAGTGCCAAGGGACAGCTGTGAGAGGGGAATTTCCACCACATGCCTTTTCCAATATTTGCATTTTGAACCATGTGAATGAGCTATCTATGCAAAAACAATTTTTTTTAAAAAGAAAACTATTCATTTCCTCCTTTGAGAGGACATCCTGTACTTTCACAATTCCAAGCTGCAATGACTAGCCTCTTTCCCTCCCATCCACCCACTGCCTTATCAGATCACCTTCCTTTCTCTAGATGGAGGATGGACATTTGTTATGCCTTTTTTTTCTTTACATAGAACACTTTTCATTCTCAATGATTTTAGGTGCCTTTTCTGATATCTTTATGTCTCCCCTGTTTTTCTTCACTCAGGCGATGATAATCGTACATGGCGCTTTGGGAATCACAGATCAATTCAAGAGCAGTGACCAGACCATCTTGCCTGTCTCCTGGTGCTGGTCAGAATCATTCAGAACGGCTCTGAAAGATCTGAATCACTTATTCCTAGTTTGAATAGCTGAGACCTGTCATCCTTTAAAGATGATTTGATGACTTTCTCTCTTTCCTTCATCTCACCAACCGTATCTGCTATTTTTCTGTCTCTTACAGCCAACAGATGCCTCGATCTCGCCTGGCTGGCTGAGCATGACTGAGACCATGGGGTTTACAGAGTCGGCCCTCTTCCGAGCTGTTTGCAGAAACGGTAAAACTCGCTGCCAGCTCAGAAAACTCCACTATTAATGCATTTCCACCCAGAGAAGTGCTAATTGACTTCTAAGCTCTATTTTTGTCTACAGAACCCTTCCCCAACTTCATACTAATTCAGCATTTTAATCAAATTTATTAAACACCTTGTGAAAGCCCGCAACGCTGTCGCGCACGGTCCTTCCATGGTCACCGTTCATTTCCTCTAGTGTCATGCTTGGCCACTCAACTGTCAAAGCAGGTGACCACGCCTGGGCAAAGGGCACTCTGGGCATTTCAACTGTAAATCGCTCTTCCACACCAACCCCATTAACTGTGTGTGGACCACGTGAAAATGTGTATCGGTCTCCACTAACGGGCCACAGCATGTCTCACCTTGTAGGAGGGCCTCTGAGCAGCCCCCTAGGACACTGACCCCCCAGCAGAGCCTATGAGAGGTGAGTCATCCATATGGAAGCCACGTGTTTCCTATGTGTGTGTCCAGAGCTGTCCCATGACCCAGAACCTTTCGAAGGGGCATGAATTGGGACACCGCTGGTGATGCACGACTAAGAAGCTGCATTCTAAAGAGAATGGCTTTCCAAGAAACTTCATTAGGACAAAGCTCAGAAATCCTGGGAAATGACTCCAGGGGGGTGACCTTCTCCTTTTTTTAGTCCATTTTTCTCCTCTCCTAATTTTTTTGTCTCTCTGGTAGCATGGCCTTGCTTAGAGAAAGGAGACACAAAACCTGCAAGAAAGCCACAACCGAATAACAAGAGACAGCTTCTCCATATTTCATACACATGGTCTCTGTTTTACATAAACGTCTGGACCCCCACTCCCTTAGGCTGTTGACTCTGCGAACCAGGAGTTGTGTGTAACGTCTAAGTGGGGCCCAGGGCTGCTGCCAGAGGACACGTGGAGATTCAGGGACATGAGGCGTACCCTCACTGGGGAAGGCACGCAGAGAGCCACGTTTTGAGGATAGAAATGTAACAAAGAGCCTGAAATGCAGAAAATGTGCTTTTCCGCGGCTAGTGCTCTTTCTGGAGAACAGGCTCAACCAACCACAGTTCTTGGGCCCAGGCCTGCTGGCTTCTCAATTTTGTAAATAAAGTTTTACTGGAACCCAGCCACGCTTATTTGTTTACATTGTCTGTGGCTTCCTCTCCACGGCAAAGACAGTGTTGAATCTTGCAACAGAGACCATACGGCCCTCAAGCCTAAAATATTTATGGTCTGGCCTTTTATGGAAGAAGCTGGCCACCTCTGCTCAGACCAGTGCATGTCACAGATGGGAGGGTCATGCATGTGGCTGCATGACTAGGAGTGGCAGAGCTGGGGGCAGGACCTGAGGACCTTGACTCAGTCCAGTCGTTTCCATGAGGCCCAGCCTCTCCACCGTGTGAAGGAGATGGTGACAGGGACTGTTGAGAAGGGACCAGCGAGGTGACCTCCCATCCTCACCACGTTGATGGATACACTGGGACCCGATGGGAAAAGCCACAAGCAGTTCCAGGTCAGCAGAAGCGTTGGAGATGGTGGAAGCAGGCTGGGGCCTACTTTCCACCGGTTCCCCATGCCCCGCCTTCCACTCACTTCTCAAACCACTCCAACCTGGCCCTGGCACAGAAGCACCAACCAAAATCACGTTCTTGATGGGTGTCAATAGCCTGTTGGTGTCCAACCTCATCCTTGAGTGTCCCAGGAGCCTTTGTCACTTGTGACCATCTCAGCCCCCACCTCACTGCTGCTGCCACCTCGGGAGTCCTTGATGCCCTTGATTTTGTCTCCTGCCTTCTTCAAAGGCTGCCACCCTCTCCCCGGCCTTGAGTGCTGGTGCACCCAGGGTTCCGGGCTGTACCCACTTCTTCCTAACAATCCTTTCTTTTTCTCCCTAAGACTCTCATCTCCTACTAAGATTTCAACCATCGCATAAAAAGACACTCCTGCATGCACTCCTGCTCTCGGGCCTGGGTCCTGAACCCAACACAGTGTTTCCGGCTGCCTTGTGGACCCATCATTCTGCCATGGCATCAGGCAAGACATTTCCCAAACTGAACGAATTCTGCTTTCAACTTCAGGGTTTCTCCAGCCCCTTTCTCTCCCACATCCCATGTCGAATCCATAGATAAGTCCTATTGGCTTTTGCTCTAAACTTTCTTGCCCTCCCCTCTGTCTTCACTCTGCCACTGTCATCCTCCCTGCCTCCTGTGGATTCCCTTAACTGGCTGCTCTGCCCACTGTTTTTCCGCACTTCCAAATCACACCTACATTAGACTCCGTCTAGAAAAAGAATCTGCACCTGTCCAGACTCTTTGGCACGGTGTCAAGCTCTTCCACGATGGACCACAGCTGGTCACCCCCATCTCTGGCTCCTCTGTCCCCTCCCATGCCCTTGTCCTCCAGCCACGCCCGCTCCTCTTTGGGCTTCTCTGCCTTCAGTGCCCTCTCACATCCCCCTCTCTGCTGGTAAAACCCTATCCCTCCTTCCAGACGGGCCCAGGGGCCGCCTCCTCTCAAAGCTGCTCTGGAACCCAATTTCCCAAGACGATGTAACTACACATCGACTGGGAACTTTGTTCAAAACACTTGTCACATCAAATTGTGGGGAGTTGAATGTGTATCTGTCCCCTTTATTGGACTCTAAGCTTAAAGGTGAGGTTCCTGTCTTCCTAGTGTCTGGACCACATGAGGGCTAGCCTGTTGCCAGGCACATGCTTTGCACCACTCTGCTTTGCACCCTAAACTGACTGTTTTACAAGTGATCACTCAGCACCTCTGATTTGGAAGTGACTTTGAAAGACACCTGAGTATTGGGGGCAGCTTACTGTCACACCGTGGAGACAAACTCTAACAATACACATAGCCTTTCTAACCTTTAATTTCCAGCAGAATGCTGGACTCACTCCCACCAAATCCAACATATAGCAGACTCTCCACCTGTAAGAAGGGCACATTCCAAGACCTTTCAGAAGCCCAAAATTCAACAAGGATGAAGAATAGATTTAAATTCCCTTCAAATGGTCAAAAAAAAAAAAAAAAAATCCAAACAACTCCAAAGGTTCTAAATTTCTAAATTATTTAGAAAATTTAGAATTTCTAAATTATTTAGAAAACTATTAATACAAATATTTTCCATTAAAATGAGCTTCGAAGGATAAGAATCATGATGAAAATTAACTCCTTTTGGGCAACCACCTTTTCATGAAATTCTAGTCTGTGTGCCTTCAGCTACATTGTGACCAGGAGTTGAGAGCCCTGAGGCCTCATTGATTCAAGGACGGTGGGTGCAAGAGAGACCCATGCCCAACACCAGCCTTGCAGAAGGAGCTAGCCAAATCCATTCCTGAGAAAAAGTTGGCAATTTATAGGGATTTTGGATTTCCAGGTCACTTGGACGTTAGTTGAAAGACAACCAGCCAAGCCACCAATGCCATGGTCCACCACGGTGCTGTCCAATATGGTAGCCATTAGCCCTGGATGGCCATTGAGCACTTGGAATCTGGCTGTTGTGGCTTAGGAATGGTATTGTTAATTTAGTTAATGAAAATTTAGATAAGCACAAGTAATGGCTACTGCACTGGACTGTACACATGTAAAATGATTCCATCATCACTGGAGACTCCATCAGACAGCAGTGGTCTGGTGTACCTGATTTCATGTGAAAAATACCTGAGTATGCCCTAACTGAACACATTGTTTTCAGAGAAAGAAAGACTAGTTATACTTTGGGGAAATGGTCTTTTTCAACACAGAAGGAATTGGGTTAGCTTCCCTCAAGACACTGCACAGTGCTGTTGAGCACGTACCTGTGTAGATGCCCAGCAGGGTGTAGATCAACTCCTGGGAGGGACTTTGGGTGCTGTTGGTGGACGCTGTGGCCATCAGGCAGTCGCTTGCCCCACAGGACAGGAGATTCTCCTCTGGGATGGCCCCTGTGTAGTCAGAAGCAAAGCGGGGATATGAGAACCCAGGTAATCTGATAGGATATGGGACCTGAAGAATGGATGTGCCCAGTGCATAGGGCATGGATATGCTGAAGGCACACCATCACAACAGGTCAAAGTCACAAGACATGGGTTTAACAAAGTGTCTCCAAACATTCTTGCCCACAGGCACATGTCCGTATACTTGATTTTAAGACACTGGACAAAGGTACAATACATGTTGGTTACTTGGTGTATTTCTTTCCTGACATAATTGAAAATTTCCAAAATGAATCAAGAAGAAATAAAGTACATTAGAATGGGTGTCAGGACCGCTGGGTTCTCTTGCCGATTCGTCTGTCACTGGTTCCGTGACTGCAGGCAGCTTATTCCAAACCTTTTCTGAATGTTAGTGTCCTTATCTGCTAAATGAATAGAATTTGAACTATCGACGACTCTCAGTCAGACTCATGTCAGAATCTCCGGAGGGAGGGGAAAGTTGTTGTAGAAGAAAGACTATTCAGTGTTTTTTTGTTTTCATAATACAAATGTCGTCACATAAAGTGCCCCAAAATCCCCTTGGCTGGTGAGCTGTGCAGCTCATTGAAGGAGAAAGCAGCATGGAGGCCAGTGGCATAAAAAGTTTGAGAAGGCCTGCAGTGCTCTCCAGATGCCTCCTGCCCTCAAATCTGTGTCCTGTGATCACTCAGAGAATTAAGTTCCCTTGCCTAAATGTCTGTAAGAGTCAACTCATTCACTCCATTTCACACCAGTCGTGATAGAGACTGAATTTTAAGCCCAGTTTCTGCTGAATTATTGCTGATGGGGACAGCGACAATAAGTAAAAATTGGTATCTATCAAACCTATGGTTTCTCTTCTTCAGATGCCTTTAGCAAGTGATGATACCGCATGAGAAAAAAGGGAAGAAGGATTTTGATTACAGTTTCCCAAAGGCGAGACTGGATGTGGGACACCAGGACAGAGAGAGAGAAATAATCCTGAAAATAGTTTGGAGGGTTAGGACATTTTCCCCCGTTGATAAAGACTTCCTGAAAGAGTCGAAGAGATTTATTTCCCCTGCTTTTGCTTTACATCCTCAACACAGACATCAAAGGCTGCAGGCAGAAAACAGACACACGCTATATATGCACGTCTGGGCAAGGTCAGATAAAGACAGATGAGTTCAGACATCACTCATCAGATGTTCAAAGCAGTTAAGGATAAGTGGTCTTAGGTGTAACATTGAACACTGGTCAATGGATCAAGTCAGTGGGACAATAAGTCAGTCAAACCCATTCTTAGACATTCGAAAGAACAGTGATGACTCCATGAACCCAAGTTCCATTGGTGGCGGCCCTCAGTTTCCTCAGGGCATTCCTCTGCTGGGGTTCCCTCTGCCCAAAGGAGGGATGGGACAGAACCTCTGAGCACCAGTGCATGAGATAGACCATGAGACCCACCCAGACTGTCCGGGGGGAAGAGCCAGGCACCACCCAGTTGAGAAGTACGTCTTCAGGGCCTCATGTGATAACCTGCTCGAATCACAGAATAAAGACGTGCGTAAATGCGATCGGGGACACTCTTGGTGGTGGATCCAGCCCCCCGAGTCACCACCACCAAGCCTCGTTTCCTTTTACCTTGAGTGGGTTTTTGGCCAAACACCAGAGACGAGATCAGGTTGCCCCACACACCAGATGACTGGAATATGAGAAAGAAGATGCCAAAATACTGGTTCACCACATTTTTGCCGATTTTTCCTGCCTCCTCCGCATGTGTGTTTCCCATGATCGTGAGGTACGTGCAATGAGCAGACCACAGTGGGGCAGCTCCGAGGCCCAGCATGATGGAGGTGGGGATCAGAGTGTACCTGTAGAAAGAAATGAAAGCATATGGCACCTTGCCCGCCTCTGTTCTCCCCTGTGTTTGGGGAGAAGGAAGCTCCGTGCCTGGCCCATTGTAAGCACAGTATTATGTTTATGGATTGGTTAGATTGATGGATTCTCATTAGACTAAGATAAATGAGCAAAACCAGTGCCTCTTCTGGGTCAGGTTCATTTGCAAGAGTGAAATTCAGTGCCAGTGACGTTTCTTTGTATGTGATACAAGTATGAGCAATGAGCTGGGATGGTTTCTAAATATTTCTAACAGCTTTACACTAAAAAATGATTTATTTATTTATCTATTGTCCTCCTCAATGAGGACTCTGTATGAAAACTCCATAGTAAGGAGAAAAAGAACAACGTGAAGCTGTCGTAATCAGTAGGTCCCGGGTAGCAATGGAGTATCCCTCTAAGAGATGCTCGAATGAATGTCCTGGGAACAAAGGCATGTGGCCCAGGAGCTTAGAACTGGGACCCCGAGGACCCCTTCCCATCGGGGTAGGGAGAGCTCAGGCCGGGCACTGGCACCAGCTCCAGCCCTGCCTCATCCAATTTCTATGACACAGATGAGGTACGGTGTTGGGTCCATTGGTCATGTTCTGCTCAGTCTCCCTGAAATTCACCCTCGACATCTTAGTCGGATCGTCCCCCTCCTTCCTGGGACCATAAAAGTGCCCTGGGATGCTAAAGGCCCACAGCAGACCTCAGGAAAAGGTCAGGATTGGGAATCAGGAGAAGGCGATGCGCCCAGCAGAGGGGGGCAGAGAAGTCTTGGTGGGAAAAACGGAAAGAAAGCCACTCTATCCTCCTGTCCCAGAATCTGAGAAAGGAATTTCAGGAAGCAGAGCTCATCTTAAAGCAGAAGTGGTGGGCAGCAGTAGGGGCGAGCGCCAGCTGTGTGCCAGCTAGTGGTCCCCAGCCTGGGAAGCTGGGGGCCGTGAGCCACGGGGGGCCTACCAGCTGGCGTAGAAGTTGCCCAGGGAGAAGGCCACGTAGCAGCACATGGAGATGACGATGCTCCACTTGCAGCCCAACTTCTTAATGAGAACTGATGGGAGAAACATGGAGGACACGAGCACCGCCCCATAGATGGTGCTGAGCGCTGCCACCCCCAGGCCTTCCTCTCTGTACAGGCTGCTCTGTGGGAACAAAAGCAGCTCTGGTTAGAGAATCCCATGGCGAAGGGCATGGTTCACCTCTAGGTCCCCGAGACCACCAGCAAGAGGCTTTCCTGGGCAGGTGGCCTCTTCTCCAGCCGACGGTGCCATGTGGGAGGAAACTGCAGTAAATTCTGAGTAAAGTGAGTCCACGGCTTCTAGAAATGAGGGAGAGGGAAAGTCTGCTGGGGCCGGGGTGGGCCCTGAGGGCAAAGGGGCCCTCTGCTCTCTGGGACAACTGCCTTCATCTAAAGAATGCAAAGAGGCTGCTGGGACGATGAGGGAGCCGCAGCATCTCCGGGCACCTGCAGGAGAGAAAGATGGAAGCTGAGCCCGAGGCAGAGAGCGAAGGTCCCGTTCCACACTGTAAGTGAAGACTCACAGTCTTCATATTTTTGTCATTTGTCCCTTAAGCACCTAGTGTAGCTTGGTATGAAGGGACCAAAAAGTCAAATATGTAACCAGAACCAGACTGGCAAAGGCAATGGCAGGGGTGAAGTTTGGCTTTTGCTGTGAACGAAATCCCAGCATAATTGTTTCTTCTTATTGTTTCACTTGTAAGAGGAAAGAAGAGGCTGAAGAGGAGGGAAAGGAAGGCCTGGATGAGGAGGAGGAGAGGGAGGAGGAGAGAGAGGAAGATAGAGGAGGGGAGCGTGGAGGAAGAGAACAATTTCCATTCGCAGGATCTTCCTGCACAACGGTCCTTCTGCGTGTTCCCCCCATCTCTGCTTCCTTTGCCTCCACACAGCTTGGGTCCACCCCACAATCAGTGATGGCATGAGGGCCTGGTGTGCTCCAGGTGGTGGACCAGACACCGGAGGAGAAAAAATGCCCCTGACAGGGCGTCTTCCCCTGCAGAAGGTAGAACCCAAATCTCAGATCGCCACCGTTTAAGGAGCGTTGACAACGTGAGGACACAGAAGTAAGAGCTTTTACATTCCTTCTCCTTTATGGCTGAGAGAGACGTCATTATCCCAATGGGGAAGGTGCAGAAAGAGACGTGGAACACCTTGTAGGATTATACACACAGCGAATTAGTCTAGAAGATCCGACAGCCGCTACTTTAACACCTGGACGGTTGACTTTCCTTCCTACCTGGTCAACCTGACAGAACACAATGTCTTATAGCAAAAGATCCTGTACCATGCGGCAGGTGCAACCTTCAGAAACACTCCCTTTCACCTACTTCTGTCCACTGGAGAGTCCAAATCCCTCAAGCCGAGCTCTTACTCCAGGAGTTTCTCTTCCTTTCCTCTCTGCAGCCACCCCCATCCCAGACATGCTCTGACCATCCTCATCCTCTTCCCAAATAGCACCCATTCTTCAAGTGCAGATCAGGGGTCCCCAAGGCCCTCCCTGAATAACGCCATCTGTGGAGATCTCTGCTTCCATCTTGTGCTGGAGTTTATCTCCCCACCAGCCACCTGACCTTTAGCACTTACCACCTGGTGACCCTGGAAGTGACCCCAGCTGACAACAATCCTGTGGAATACAGAGGAGATGTTCCACTTTTTTGAGTCACCCCCTATTTCTTGCCCAAAACGGATACTTAAAAATATTTGGAGCCAGCCCCAAGGTTGAGTGGTTAAGCTTGCACCCTCCGCCTCAGCAGCCCAGGGTTCGCTTGTTCAGATCCTGGACACAGAGCTACACACTGCTTGTCAAGCCATGCCGAGGCAGCCTCCCACATAGAAGAACTGGAAGGACTTACAACTAGGATATGCAACTCTGTACTGGGGCTTTGGGGAAAAAAAATAGAGGAAGATTGGCAACAGATGTTAGCTTAGGGCGAATCTTCCTCACCAAAAAAAAAAAAAAAAGTTTGTTGTTGGGGCCAGCCTGGTGACAAAGTGGTTAAGTTCGCATGCTCTGCTTTGGTGGCCCAGGGTTTGTGGGTCTGGATCCTGGGCATGGACCTAGCACCACTCATCAGGCTATGCTGTGGCAGTGGCAGTGTGTCCCACATACAAAGTAGAAGATTGGCACAGATGTTAGCTCAGGGACAGTCTTCCTCGCCAAAAAAAAAAGTTTGTTGATTAGTTGAAACTGAAAGTAAGAACAGCCAATCCCAGGAAAATTCTGAAATCTAGTTAGAAGATGGAAACGGAGCACTCTGCTCTGAAGTGGGGGCTCTCTGGACATTTCTGTTTGTCGCTCTAGTTGCAGGAGCGTGGGGTGAGAGAGAGATGTGGCCAGCCCGAGCCCTGGCTCTCTTCGTACTTAGGTATTGCGTTCTCCTGTGTTCCTGAGCTGGCCTCTGTGTGTTAACGAGAAGCCTGCAGCACTTCTGCGCCCTGGAACTCCTTCCCACCCACAGCACTGCTGCTGCAAAGTGGCCAGGTCTGTTTGTCGCTTACAATCGAGGGAGATTGCAAACCACTGAAAAGAGAGCCAGATGTCGATATCCAAAGTGGGAACCAAAATCTTAAAGTCAATTTCTTTTCACCTGAATGGCCATGTTCAAACACCTGTATTTGCACGTGTTAGGAGTCAGCCTACCAAATACGGGCACGAGGATAAGTACAACAAGTGTTGAATGCGGTAAGACTATTGGCAGGAACAATTAGAATCTTCACACAACTCATTCCACAAATGGGTCCCGAAGCACTTTCAGGGGAGGCTCTGCGCACGGCCCTACTGATGCAAAAGCAATTCGAGCAGCCGCCGCCCTCCGGGAGCGCGTGGTGGCCAGGGCCTGACAGGAGTCGGGAACAGCAGCAACCAGGCAATTGCAATCGGGCTGGGAGTCCCACAAGAGGGGCAGTTCAGGGGCTTAGAGCTCCTGGCGGGGGGCTGCGGGGGGCACTAAGACCAGCTCAGTGGAGTCAGAAAGACTTTCTAGGAGTGAGGGTCAAATGAGATCTGGAGGATTAGGAGGTAATCAGGGAAAGCGTGGGATGGGGATGTTGTCGGGGATGTGTTTACACAGGCCCCGATTCTGAGTTGGGGAAGTGGATTGAACCTCTAAGCCATGGAGAGCCCCCGAAGGGTGTCAAGCAGGAGGCTGATACACATCAATGACTTCTCCATTCACCAACTGACCATCCGGTGCCTCTGTGTGTGGAGCACGGTCTCAGGCAGGGGGATATGGTCATAGAGTGATGGGCATGGTCCTGGAGTCACGGAACTCATAGGTGTCATGTGGTGCCTGCCACAGCACTGGGAGTGGACACAGGGGTGCCTCACCCAGACTTCGGATCCAGGGCACAGGGAAGGGGGAGAAGGGAGTGACATTCAAGTTGAGGTCTGAATGATAAACAGAAGATCAGTAGCCAAAAAAGTGACAGAGAGGCAGCTGCTGCAGAAGAAGCTGTGTAGACGCATGTCTGGGTCCAGGGACAGGTGCACAACCTAATCCAGACCAGGCTGGGCCCGTGCGGATGCTTGCAACCCTCTTGGCCACTCCTCTGGGGCCTGAGAATGAAGTCAACCAGAGGAAAGCAGAAGGAAATGACAGGGACAGGCAGGTTCCTCCAAGATCATCGGGAGGCAGTCATTTCTGAAGACACTCCTATCCACGTCATTATGTTCTTTCGCTTAAGCCAGTCCTGATGATAGAGGTAATTACCCCAGTAAAACCACGTTTACGTCTTCTGGATCAGCGGGCAAGGAAAGATGGTTGTCTGGGACAGAGGGTGGGTAAGTGGGTGGGTGGGATTGTTCCAAGCCAGCGTGGGAGATCTGGTTCTTTAACATCTCCCATCTTACAAGGAAGAAGGGACCACGTTGATGACAGCACGTGCTTCTGCTTCCAAGAGCCTCGGGGGACTGGGGAGGACCTGGATACGAGTGTGGTGCCTCCCCGTGGCTGTACCGCTCTCCCTGTGCTGTGCTGGTGCCACTCTGAGTGTTTCCTGAACCAGCTTCCCACAGAGCTGGGGGCCACGGAGGCAAATGTTGTCTGCCCACATTCGTCTGTGGCCTCAGCGTGCCATAGTCACAGCCTGCGAGACCAGCCCCCCTGGGGAGCTGCTAAGGCTCTCCCTCCCTCCCTCCCTCCTTGGACTTTCAAGTCTAGAGGCCAATTTGCTGTCATTCAGCTGAGCATCTGTCAGATCCACAACTGCTTCCTGAGAATTCGGACGCCCATGACGGCCAGGCCCCGAACCCAGAGGAGCTGCCCTGCCTGGGGCGGGTGTAGCAGCAGGGTCTCCTTCTGTGGGGCAGGCTCTCCCTGGGGAAAGTGTTACTGATGGGTCCACACCCTCATAAGTCTCCTTCCAGACAGCACATACTGTGCTCCACGTGAGCGCAATTCAATGTAGCAAAGCAGGTGTCTCCTACACACTAACATTTTACGACAACATCAGAAAGGCCTGGAAGAGGCAATGACGACAAAGCCGTGAACCATGCTGGCAAGAAAGGAGACTGCTTCCTCTTAGACTTGGTTTTGAGAATCACCAATATCTACAGTTTCCTTCTCTGCGAGCCTGATGGAAAACAAGACCGAACAGCGATTCCCTGAGGAACGCATGGACTTAGGATTTGAAGCTGAATTTGAACTTCCTTGACAGCCCACTAGTTCAAGGTGAGGACAGAAATTCGAGTCTCTCCCCTTCTGTCCTGCCCCTTTGATTCTGAGCGCCTGTGTGTGCTTTTCCAGTTCACTGCTGTGCACACAGTGGGTGCCTACCTCTTGTTCCTGATTGACAAACCGTGCAAGACCACACCAACTTGTCATCAGAAGTTCTAAAAATCTTTATGTGGCCGCCCCCAGCCCCCAGGGCACAAGGCTGGGAGAAGGAATGCACCCGGGGCCTCGTGACAGGTCCCTGGAATGCCTGGAGGTTCCATAGACAGTTAAAGATCAGACTTAAAACATAACTACCCAGGGAAGATGCAGCAGGTGTACTCCTGGGCACACGTGACCACTGCCACCACCTCTTAGAGAGACCCAAGGAGGGAGGAATGCCACAGGGCATCCAACTGCACAGAGATCACTTCATCCAAGTCCACGGCTGTGCTTAACGCAGCGACGGAATCTACAAGGTCTAGCGAAATTTGATAAATTCACCTTACTGCCCTTGACCACAAAGCCGAGGGCACGAAAGCATAGACTTCACGATGATTTGTCCTGTGTCTCCTCTTAACCAGCCAAAGGCAAAGAGTATCTTATCAAATTGCTAAGCCAAGACCTTCGATCTCCTAGCCCAAGGGTCAACCACCCACGCTGTTGGGCAATCCTGCTGGGATGGGAGTGGGAACTGCATGTTGTCGCAGGCAGGTAAAAACCACCATTTTTTTTTTAGAGCGTTTTGGGGGCGGGGGGTGAACTGGGTAACAAGAAATCCCACGTTCCTCATCCTCAGTGACCATGGGGGCTCTTGGAGGCCAAGAGGCGTTCAGAAGGCAAGACACTGTGACGGTTGTGACTTACCTGCAGATTCTGTAGCCCTCCAAAGGCAGTAAAGAGAAGCAAGAATCCAAAGGAAACCACCAGAACATTCTTCAGGCTGCTCTCCATCGTGTTGAGGGCAGGTGTCAACCATCAGTGGCTTCGTAGTTCCTTGAAAGAAACCACTTGGAGCACAGAAAAAGCAGTCTGTGTAAGAAGTCACATTCTCCCTGGTTTGAGTTAGACATGTGTTAGTCATTAAGGCTGTCACAAGTTAATGGACTTGGTTATCACTGACACCGTGGAGTGCCACCGTGTTATTCATTCACCCTCTCTGCCATCCACAACCACCACTTTCTAACAGGGCCAAAGTTTGTATGTACTTGTACTTTTTTCCTACAGTTTCTAGTAGATATGGTCCTTACAATAAAGTGATGATTTTCATATTATATATATTTCATAATATAATTACATATATTGTGCAATACAATTGTATATGTAATATAATATTTTCTATATACACCATTGTAGATATAATGGTATCTTCCACATTAAGAGAAATTGTCAATGGTGCAAAATGTGGGATATATTTCAGTCTGAGAGAACAAAGTATAAATGTGAACTTCAAGATACATAGGTCAACTTCTGACAAAGAGTCAACATGGTTAGAAGATCCAAGGGTCAAAGGATTAGCATCTCAAAGACTATGTGATTTATAGCACGGCAATAATTAAAAACCAAACTTCTCTCAGTATAGAACTTTTACATGCGTCATTTCTGCTGTCCCACAACGGTGCTCTGATAATTATCATTAGAACTCTTAGACTCATTAGCAGACAGGGACCTGAGCTTCCGAAGTGTTAGACGTCAGGTCTAGAGCAGTGCTGTCCAAGAGAACTTCCTGCACTGTCCAATATGGTGGCCACCAGCCACATGTGGCTACTGAGCACATGACATGTGGTGACAGCAACTGAAGAACTGAATTCATAATTGCATTTCATTCTAATTAATTAAAATTTCAAACAACTAACCCTATATCGCCTAGCTAATAAGCAAGCAAAATCATTTGCTTATCCAATTATTAGTACAATTGTTTTATTTAATTGTTAGTAAAACTTAGTTTGAAGATAGTTTCCAAAGTTCTGTGAAGTTGATTATCTTTATCTAGTTTGGATGAATAAGGTGAAACTTACAGCGTTGGTAAAGGCACCACGTGGTGGCAGTGCTGTCAGGGAAGTGTGTCATGCCATTTGAACAGCATGATGAAGTAATCGCTCTTGCAACTTAACTTATTCCTGTGAAAACAACATTTTTAGGAAAAGAGTGGCTTTATGTATGGACTGAATGTGGATTATCACACTTATACAGACATGTGAGCGGCAAAGTCTAGTCAAAGGAGTGCTAACCACAGAACCAAATGAGATGTGTAGGTTCAAAATGTCATCCTGTAACTCCTTAGCTGGGCCATCTCAGTTTCTAAACCTCAGCTTCCTCCTGAAAAAGGAGGGTTGCAAAAGTTGGAGAAGCTAATAATTATGAAAGCCCCTGGAACACATAGTCATTACCAGTTAATGTGGATCGGCTAAGATGACATTTTAACTTTCAGAGCAAATACCCATTGGAGCAATATTTAAAGAAATTTAACACCTAGCCTAACCCAGACTATTCCACAGGAATCTCATTAGCAGTTAATGAACTCTAGCTTCCTTTTGATTTTTCAGCATCACTTTAGCTGACTTCCCTTCTGGCCCGTCTGCAACCACCCACAAATGATGTACTTTGATACTAGGAGATTCCTGAGGTTTCCTCACTACCCACTGTTCAAGCTTACCAGAACCATCTTCTGGATTTGCCAACTGGCTCTGGGGAGCAACTTCCTCCCGTTACTGTTCCAGCCCTTTGCACAGCCAACCAGCATCTGCTGAGGAGCTGTGTGCTTGTGCAAAGGAACCCCAGAGGTCTGCTTCCGTCTTTGCAAGTCACTGCCCTCCCCGTCCCCTAGCTGTGCTCTTTCTGGTCAGGAATTCATCGCTGACATAATTGCTTTACTCCTGTTGGCTTTTTCACCCTCCCTCCCGGTTCTTCCCCTTCATTTATCTTAAGAGGGATTTTGTAAATAAACAGACACTTTACAGTCTGCCTTGGCTTCTTGAAAGAGATGTCCACTGGCACCGTGCCCCGATTGTTTACAGGCTGAGGACAGTTTTAGAGGTAGTCACCAATGCTTTCCTCACATCAAAGGGACCCGGGCTTGGAAGTGTGTCCCCGATAACTTACCCATTCCTGCAGATCTGTGGTTGGGCTGGGGACAAGAATGGGAAACCCCAGAAACCCAAAAGCTGCCCTGACTCCTCAGCCAGTTTCAGCATCGTGGACAACGTGTTCCTGCAGCCATGAACCTGGGCCGGGGCCAACCTCAAGCGGCTGAAGCGATTTAGGTAGAAATGACTCGAAGGATACCAAGAATCATTTCGCTCCTCAAAATTAACATCAACTCTATGTCACTTGGAGGAAAAAAAGATGATTTTGTAGCTCTGCGCACATTTTAAGTCAGCAAACTTCCCGCTAAGAAGATAAAGATTGCCTTTCCTTTAAGGCAAGTATAATCAATGATTTGCTGTTTTAGAGAAAATACTTATGTAAGCAAATTAATATCAATTTTCTTGACATTTAAATCTGACATCTTCGTTAATAAAAGCAGCACCAAACAAATTCAAATCTGTCCTCTTCATTATTCAGACTTTCATCTACATAAAGATGAAAAATGTGTGTATAAGGAATGGAAAAAATTATCGCCTAAGTTGAGAATTCTTATGCTTTGGAAATAAATGTACTTGGAGCTTTTTTTCTTTTTAAGCAATTTATATTTTTAAATTGTGTTTCAGGCACAGCTCTGACTGGAGAAGGGTTTTCCCTTAGCTAGCATCCCACGCAGCTGCAGGCTTGGAGAGGCAGGCTCCGGAGCTGACCCGTGGGTGAGACGGGCTGTGACAATGAACCGGGATCGAGAGACCCCCGGAGTTGAATGGGGATTCTCCTGGATCCCATCCTCCCTTGGCCGAATTCTCTCCACCTCATTCCCATCACTGACCAGAGACAGCAGGGACCTCCTCATGGCAAATTCAGCAGAAGTGGGGCCCAGGAAAAGGCTTGAAATAGCCCAAAATACTTTCACCCTCACAATACTCTTGAATCATACCACCCCTCTAAGCTGTCATGAGATTCTCCGTCTTCCCTGCCCTCGGGGTCCTCAGCACTCATTTCATTGTGGGACATTTGAGCAGCCTGACTCTGCAGCCAGAATCTTCCATGGGAATCTGCAGAGCCCCCAACTCCTGGCATCTGGGAAGTCTATGCACCCTTATTTCATACCAGAGTGGAGGAGACTGGCAGGCCCTCAGGTATAACATCTGAGGCATCTTTCACACGTTCTGTTGAATGAGTCAGAGATGGTAAAGTCTTCACACACATGGGCATACACAGGTGCGCACACACACGCACACCCCTCTTTGTTTTCCAAATGCATAATCCCTTTTCCCTTTCCAGTGAGCCTTCTTCTGCCCTAGATATAGAACCAACTTCTACAGTTATTCTCCAACCCCTTGTTGAATGCCCACCCTGTGCCAGGTATCATTCCAGTGCCAGGACCACCACACTGAGAGAACGGTGAGGGGACTGTCCTCATAGAGGTTTAATTCTAGTGGAGGAGACAGACAAGAAGCAACTATGCAAGTAGAGTAATCAAACAAATTCAGACGGTGACATGTCCCGTTCCCCAAACAAAGCAGGTCACACGATAGAAATCATGAGGAGGGTGGTCCCATTTGGTCCCCCGGCCCCCCCACATCTCCACAAAGGCGGAGGAGTGATAACCAGCTGCTGGCACAGCTGCTCAGCTCCACAGACGCTGACCCAGACAGATTTTCTCTCAACAGAATCTGAAAGTTCCCGTTTTGCAGCTCCCGGACCATCTGAGGGAGCCAGCAGGTCGGAGCGAGCAGCTCTAACGAGGTCGCTAGGGAAACTCAGGCTGAAACTTGGACGGCCCAGGGCCAAATGCGTGTGCGTCCAGGAAGCCAAGATGAGGGGCATACACAGCGTATATGCTGGAACTGTCTAGGTACTTTTCAATTGGTTGTTTTGTCTGTAAAGTCAAAGCCACAGTGACATAAGATTACGTGGGTCAATCTGCAAAGACAATTTTGTGTCTTTGCTCCCACAATGCACAAACATCCAAAAAATGTGAATTTTGTCCCCAACTGAAATAACGTTATCTATGTCGATTTTACCTAGTGTTGCAGCCTCCTTAGTTCCTGTTGCTGTCGTGGCTCATGGCTTCTTCAATCTTGGAGAGTGTCAGAAGCTGAGACGGTTTCCTGGGTTGCTTCTGGCTGCGAGAGAAGTGACTGACTCTTTCCAACAGTACGTTGGGAAATCATTGCATCACACCTGTTTGCGCTTCAGCAAATGGCACAGGATGTTTGTACACCACAGGTCTCCCCCAGCAGATGGTTATCTGGGAACTACTTAACCCTTTTTGGGAAGGAATTTCTGGCAAGCTGGACAAAGATAGGCTTGATAGATAGAGTAGTTGACGTGATTGAGAACGTTTTAGAAAGACCTCTATTGAGAATTACTGCTTGGTTCTTGAATAAAAATAGCATGAGGGGCCGGCCCAGCCGTGCAGTGGTTAAGTTCACACATTCTGCTTCTGGGGCCCGGGGTTCACTGGTTCGGATCCTGGGTGCAGACCTGTGCACAGCTTGTCAAGGCATGCTGTGGTAGGCATCCCACATATATAGCAGGGGAAGATGGGCACAGATGTTAGCTCAGGGCCAGTCTTCCTCAGCAAAAAAGAGGAGGATTGGTGGTGGATGTTAGCTTAGGGCTAATCCTCCTCCTCAAAAAAAGAAAATAGTAAGAGCTCATTTTAATGAAAAAATCATGCACATATGTGTGTGTGCACATATGAATATGAATAGATACATATGCACACACAGTGAGCTATATACATCTGTACACCTACATACAACAAGTCTGTAAACAAACAGACTCTGGACAATAGACCTTGTGGAAGGAAGGGGCCACGTGTACACTTTCTATCGGATGCACCTATATACTATTTCCATATTTTTAGGAAGATCATCTAATTTTTAAAATAATAAAAATGTTTAAAGGAAAGTATACTTTTAGAAAGAAATTTTGTTATAAAGAACTTTAAAAATTAAGCTAAAACTCCAACTTCTTGCTAGGCCTCTTGTTTTCGTCATTAATGGGTTTCCCCTCAGTTTCTCTCCAGCGCTCCCCATGCCCGTGGCTTACAAAGCAAATGCAAACAGCGCTCAGGCTGAAACCGCTGGAGCCACAGCCCCACTCACACCCTCCTGTGCTTCCACCGAGCTTGACCCACCCTCCCCCCCAGCCCTGGATGCCCCCGCAGGACGTCCTCCTGGGGCACGCAGGACCGTGATCCTGTTTCATCATGGTCATTTATGCTCCAGCTGGTTCCCCACTGGATGGATGGGCAACTCCTTGAGGCCCGGCTTGTCTACGGCAAGCTAGAAAGAACAGAGGCATGGTTGGGACCCTGGGGGAGGCCTGGCAGACAGCCGTGCACACAGCTATCCCGCATCCAGCAGACATTCCCAGCTTTCCTGTGCGCTAGATGCGGGGAAGACAGACGTATGATGGACAGAAGGCACGGCCCCTTCTCTCAGCCTGAAATCCTGCAGCTACGGACTGCTCTCAGCGTGGACATCGCTCTCTGCCCTCCCGTTGGGAGAGGACCACATACCTACTCATCCTGTTCGTCCATAAGCACATCCTGACCCTCTATGACAGGGACCGTAGTAGTGCCAGAAGCCATGGCGGGTGGGAGGGAAGTCCACTCAGGACTTGCTTAGGTCAGGAGAAATCAAGCTGTTGATGTGTTTTGAGAACTGAAAGGATTGTGACTCACAAGGGTGAGTAAGCGTTCCGTGCTTACAGCGTGTGGCCTGCAGGAGCGCTGGGCCTCTGTGGGTCTGGGTGCCATCACTGCAAGCCTGTGACCAGCGTCCCCAAGGTGGGACACCTGGCTGGTGTAGAACCCAAGAACCCCCATGGCGGAGATCTCTCCTGAATGGTCTAAAACAGCCAAGAATTGGCAGCACACCCAGTTGGCCAATTTGACCGTCTGAATCCCCGTCAGCAGGTCTGCGCTGGAACTCGGGACCAGGGCTTTTCCTGGGAAAATGGGCCGTGCCTGAGCGCTACAAGCAAAATCATGTTTTCTAAGCAATCCCTGGTATCCTGTGGTTTTTTTTTTTAAGCTGATGTACTCAGTTATTGATTTGGTATGTCACTGTGTATTCCCAGGGGCTCAAAAACAGCCGTACCTGCTCAGCTGGACAACAGGAGCTCTTTCTGTGAAATGGAATGAAACCAAGGACCTAGGGAGGAAGGTTACATTTCTGGTTTCTGCAGGAGAAGACATACGAGGGTTTGAAAATGTCACTGCGGTCCTGCAATTTCTCTCCAGTCTCTAAACCGGAAGAGGCTGAGGTTTGCTCTGCAGGGCGGCCCCAGCCGGGACGCCCAGAAGGGCCAACCGTCCATCCATCTGTCCGCAGCAAGGTGCCCTTGGGTCTGACGGGCGTTCTGCCCTGTGTTTTGCACTCAGCATTCAGTAAGTATTGTTTGGATTTGGCAGAACTTACAGACTCCACCAGAATGGGGGAACACCTGACCTGTGAGTCTTAACGTTCCTGGAAGGATTTATCATTCCGTGAGATTCTGACTTGATAACATCATGTCCCAAAGGGCCCCGGTGTCTGGAAGAGTCCATTTATCCTTGAAAGTTTTGTCAATTACCGTATTTGGGGCATCCTTAGTTATGATGGCTATTGCTGGTTGGAAGCTCTCTCTTGTGACCACCCTCTTGCAACAATTAGCAGTTAGAACTTCTCTTTCATCCTTACGAGGAATGTCTGCTACCTGGCCTCTTGCTCTTCAGACCCACCATGGCGGAATGAAAGCTAAGATGGATGGGTATATGTGTACATGTGTGTGCATGCGTGTGTCTATGTGTGTCCATGCGTGTGTGCATGAGCGTGCATGTATCTTGGTTTTTATCCTGTTCCCTTCTAGCTGGTAGGCAGTGGGGCGGGTAAGGGGTAAGCGTATTTCAAGGCTGGATTTATCCCACAAATAATTTGCAGGCGTACCACCAACATACATCTTTCTCCTACCACTTTGCCCACCTCTACTTTGTTATGCAGAGTCCACACTTCTACCTGGGGTTGGGGAAACAAGGAAATCTTACCGTCCTTGAACATTTACTGTGAAAGATGTTGTTTTTCCACTGTCAGTGCTGAACTTTTCCTGAGCCGCCTGGTCCCGGATGGGAGCACAGGGCCAGTTATGAAATCCTCTGAGCTCCTGTTTCCCAAAATCTTCCCCCCTCCTTTGTGTCTGAGGAAAGGACTCACCACAAAGAGCCACTCCCTCAGGTGACACTGGTGACACCCCGTCCACACTTTCTGATGACCCCTGTGTACCTGTCACAAGGCAGACCTGACCCTCCATCTCCTGTTCTTTGTCTCATGG